AGGAGTGTATCTACCTCAGGTAAATGTTCAACTCATATGCCTGTCTTTTGTTTGGCTGGAAGCCACAGGTGTGGGTTCAATTTGAGACCTGAAGGGCAGCTAGGGGCCATATCTCAGTGGTTCCACCAGGCTCTATCAGACCAGCAAACCTGATCCCCCTCCCCTTTTTTCCCAAATAATTTTGAGTTTTGTTCCACATTGTTCTCACTCTCTATCCAGGATCTTCTACACAGATCTCCCTCCGAGTGGTTGACAGTGGTACCCAGGCATCATCTAGTTCTTCTGGTCTCATAGTCATATAGGCTGTGGATCTCATGGTGTTACCAGTCACAGGAACTAATTGTTTCCATGAATCTTTGGTTTTCTTCATTCTTCTTTGCTCTGGATGAGAAGAGACCGACTGTTGCATCTAGATGGTAGCTTGCAAGCTTTTAAGATCCCAGTTGCTACTTGCCAAAGCAGGAGGTGGAACAATGTTTTCTACAGTATGTTATGCCAATTGAGCTTGATGTCCCTGCAACTATGGTCCCAAGCCCGCAGGTTCAACTACTCGGTCCCTCTGGGTAGCTGGCTGTGACCAAGCAGTGACCACAACCTTGCCCTTTGTCAGCTCTACCATACACCTGGGAATTCTGCTCATTCACATAAACTTATAGGACGATTGTCTGCCAACTCTATATATGTTCTTGGATACACTCCCCATTTCATAGACATACCTAATCGTTTAGCCTGTCCACCCATCTATCCACCCATATACCCCATGTTTGCCTTCACTGACAATGCATTTTAGTAAAATGTCTTTCAAGTCCTTTGCTTAGTTTTTAATTCATTTGTTTGTCTTATTTATTAACATTTTATTTTTGCTGAAAATATACACAACAAAACCCGTTCCCATTCTGTAGTTTCTAGGCACAATGATCAATAACATTGGTTACATTCTGTCAACATTCTTGTTATCTCTGTCCTAGTTGTTTCATTCCTATTGACTTAAATTCCCTGCCCCTCAACCTTTCTGTTTATGCTTTGTAATAGCTATTGTCCATTTGGTTTTATATAGATATATTTTTAAAAAAGAACACAATATTGAAGGGTGGTAATTTTTACTTTTTGAGCTAAACTGTTACTTAAAGATGACTTCAGGAGACAGTTTAAATTTAAATTTAAGTTTTGAATAGTAACTCAGGACAATATTCTCAAGGACTCCTCTAACCTCAATAGGCCCATAAATTTGGGGTCTTTAAGAATTTGAAGTTCTGTTCCACATTTTTCTCCCTTTCTATCATGATCCATCAATTGTGTCCCTGATAAGAACATTCAGTAGTGGTAGCTGGGCATCATCTAGTTCTTCTGGTCTCAAGGTAGAGGAGGCAGTAGTTCATGGAGACGTTTAGTCCTGTAGTCCAGTTCCTTCTCTGATTCTTGAATTTCTTTCTTTCTCTTTTGTTACAGGTGATTAGAGATCAGTAGTTGTATCTTAGATGGCCACTTGTGAGCTTTTAAGACCTCAGACGCTACTCACCATAGTGGGAGGTAGAACATAAACTTTAAGAACTATATTTTGCCAGTAGACTGGATTGTCCCATAAGACTATAACCTTAAGGCTTCTAACCAAAAGAACTAATCCCTCAAGGTGACTGGTTCTATCTAACTAGTATCAGCATCTGTAGCCCATCCCTTTTTTTTGTTGTCGTTATTATTGCAAAATTTTATGTGATACCACTCACTCACTCTCAAGGCCATTGAGTTGATTCTGTCTCATAGGGACCTCCATTGAGTTTCCAAGGCTATAAATCTTTACGGAAGCAGACTGCCTCATCTTTGTTTTGTTTTTATTTATTCATTTTTATTGTGGTTTGAGTGAAAGTTTACAGAGCAAATTCATTTTCCATACAACAGTTTATACACATCTTGTTTCACAACATTGATTGCAATCCCCATGATGTAACAACTCTCTCCCCACTTCCTCCCTGTGGTTACCTTTATCTTATGTCCTTTCTTATGCATTCTTGCCCTCTGAGCTATCTTGAAGTGCAAATACTGCTCTTCTGATGTCCCATGGTTGATTGTTCTAAGAAGGGTACCTGTTGTTGTTGTTGTTAGGTGCTGTTGAGTCATGTCCTACTCATAGTGACCCTATGCACAGCAGAAGGAAACACTGCCCAGTCCTGCACCAACTCCGTGATCCTTGCTATACTTGAGTGCAATGCCGCAGCCACTGTGTCAATCCATCTTGTTAAGGGCCCTCCTCTCTTTCGTCGACCCTCCACTTTACCAAGCATGACATCCTTCTCCAGGAAATGGTCCCTTTTGATAACATGACCAAAGTAGGTGAGACGAAGTCTGGCCATTCTCGCTTCCAAAGAGCATTCCGGCTGTACTTTCTCCAGGACAGATTTGTTAGTTCTTTAGCAGTCCTTGGTACTTTCAGCATTCTTCACCAACACAACTCAAAAGTATCAATTCTTCTTCGGTCTTTCTTATTCATTGTGCAGCTCTCACACACGTATGAGGCGATTTAAAATATCATGGCTTGTGTCAGGCACACATTAGTCCTCAAGGAGACATCTTTGCTCCTCAGCACCTGAAAAAGGTCCTTTGCATCCTAAGCTCTGGTGGCGTAGTGCCTAAGGCATTTGACTGCTAACCAAAAGGCTGGTAGTTCCAACCCACCAACCACTCCACGGAAGGAAGGTTGGGCAATCTACTTCTGTAGTGGTGACTAAGTCGGGTCCAATTCCACAGCAGGGAGTTTGGTTGCTTTTTTTTGTTTGTTTATTCATTGTCTGATGTCCTGACTGCTGCTTCCATTAGCATCGATTGTAGAACCAAGCAATGTGAAGTCTTTGGCAATTTCAATCTTTTCTCCATTTATTGTGATGCTGCTTATAGGTCCAGTTGTAAGGATTTTTGTTGTAAGGATTTTTGTTTTCTTTATATTGAGATGTAATCCATACTGCACACTGTATCCAATCTGCATCAATAAGTGCTTCAAGTCATCCTCACTTGCAGCAAGCAAAGTTGTGTTGTCAGCGTATCACGGTTGTTAATGAGCCTTCCTCCAAACTTGATGCCACATTCTTCTTCATATAGGCCAGCTTCTTCGATTATTTGCTCAGCATATAGATTGAATAAGTATGGTAAAAGTATGCAACCCTGACACATTCCCTTCTTGGTTTTAAACCATGCAGTATCCCCTTGTTCTTTTCGAATGATAGCCTCCTGGTCTATTACAGGTTCCTCATGAGCACAATTAAGTTTTCTGGGATTCCCATTCTTCTCAATGTTGTCCACAGTTTGTTATGATCCACACAATCAAATGCTTTTGCATAGTCAACAAAACACGAGTAAATATCTTTCTGTTATTCTTTGCTTAGAGCCAAGATCCATTTGAGGATGGAGGGTACCTACCTGGTGTAAATATTTGCCTTATAGCCCGTATGTTGTTTGGTTTGAAATCACGGGAGTAAGTCCAATTCCAGGCCCAAAGGGTGACTAGGGACCACAGTCTTGGGGGTTTCACCATTCTCTATCAGACCAGTCATCCTGGTCTTTTTTACAATTTTAAGTTTTGTTCCACATTTCCCTCCTGCTTTATCCAAGATCTCCTATTTTAATCATCACTTTTTGAGTGATTGACAGTGGTAACCAGCCACAATCAAGTTGTTCTGCTCCCAGGGTCAGCAGTCTGATGTCAACATGGTCCACTAGACCCTTGGACTAACTGTTTTCATGCATCTTTGATTTTCTTTATTCTTCTTTGCTCCAGATGAGGAGAGACCAATTGTTGCATGTTAGATGGCTACTTGCAAACTTTTAAGACCCCAGTCACTACTCACCAAAGTAGGATGTAGAGCAATGTTTTTGTGTAGGATGTTAGGCTAGTTGAGCTGGATGTCCCCCACGACCATGGTCTCAAGCCTGTGAGCCCAGTGACTCATTTCCTTAGGGTGTTTGGCTGTGGCTAAGGAGTTATCATCACTTTGCCCCATTAGTTCTAATATATATATGGACATTCTTTTTTTGATTATTTTATTGTGATTTGGGTTAAAATTTACAGAGTAAATTCACTTTCCATATAGCAGTTCACATACACTTTGTCTCATAACATTGACTACAATTTACCCCAGTGCAACAGCTCCCCTCCCACTTACTCCTGAGAGTTACGTCTTCCCTGTGTCCATCCCTTCATGCACTCCTGCCCCCTGAGCTTTCTCCCTGTGCATAAACAGCCTGTCTTTCTCCCATGATTGTTCTCTCCAAGGAGTGTATCTACCTCAGGTAAATGTTCAACTCATATGCCTGTCTTTTGTTTGGCTGGAAGCCACAGGTGTGGGTTCAATTCCAGACCTGAAGGGCAGCTAGGGGCCATAGTCTCAGTGGTTCCATCAAGCTCTATCAGATCAGCAAGGCTGGTCCCCACCCCCCCTTTTTTTTCCCAAATGATTTTGAATTTTGTTGCACATTGTTCTCCCTTTCTATCCAGGATCTCCTCCATAGATCCCCCTCCAAGTGGTTGACAGTGGTGGCTGGGCACCATCTAGTTCTTCTGGTCTCATAGTCATATAGGCTGCGGATCTCATGGTGTGCCAGTTGCTAGGACTAAATCTTTCCATGAATCTTTGGTTTTCTTCATTCTTCTTTGCTCTGGATGAGGAGAGACCCATTGTTACATCTAGATGGTTGCTTGCAAGCTTTTAAGATCCCAGTCGCTACTCACCAAAGTAGGAGGTGGAACAATGTTTTGTGTAGTAAATTATGCCAATTGAGATTGATGTCCCCTGTGACTATGGTCCCAAGCACACAGGTTCAACTACTTGGTTGCTCTGGGTAGCTGGCTATGCCCAAGAAGTGACTACAACCTTATCCCTTGTCAGCTATACTATACACCTGGGAATTCTTACAGAACATACAAATACAC